AGATAGATAGATAGATAGATAGATAGATAGATAGATAGATAGATAGATAGATAGATAGATAGATAGACAGATAGATTATAGACAGATTAGAAAGATAGAGGGATAGAGGATATAGATAGATGAGATGATAGAGAGATGACAGAAAGACAGACAGACAGATGACAGAGAGGATAGCCAGATAAGAGAATAGAAAGAGCAGAAAAACACAGAGGAGAAATGATAGACAGGCAGGCAGATAGATTAAACAGATAGATAAAGCAGACAGACTTTGGGAGGGACAGGATAACACAAAAGGGGCCACCCCTGAGCCACAAACAATCCTGCAGACCTCCAAATGGGTGGGCTCATCAGCCAAATATCTTTACTTCCACAGCCTTCTGATTTTCTCATTTTATGGGGGAATTCAGGGAGCAAATGGCCTGTGTGGGAAGAAGGAAGGGAAGGGCCAGGAATCCCATTTTAAATTTGGAGGAAGGACCAGCAACTGATGTCTTAAGAAACCTGGAATCATTTCTCTCCAGACTGCAGAACAATAACTGCGTGATTGGCCCAAATGCTGTTATGCCTATATGTCTTAAAAAAAAAAAAAAAACTAATATGAACTGTTATACAATAAATTAAGCAAATTAGGGTTATCTTGTAAAACATGAACGAATAAAAGTATACTCAAATGATTGATGAATAATGATACTAAGGTATTTAGTTTTTGGTTGACAATGTGAGATTATATGTAATGTAATTGTAATTGAAGACTACGAAATGGAAGCACAAAACAATTTGTAAACCAATCGGCGCACTGTACGTACACCTATGGAAGACAGCTTGATGTTTTTATGTCTTATTTGTTTATGTTTGTTTTTAAAAACCAATAAAATTAAAAAAAAACTATGGCAATTAAAATCCCCAGTGAAACTTGAGAACAGCCAGCTCTCTTGAGTCCAAAAATGGCTTTTTTTCCCCAGCAAGACAAGGTGCCTATCAAACCATCAGGATCCAGCCTAAAATAGGCACCAGAGCTGCAGCATCCTCGCTGGTTTCGTTTGCCATCACTTTCCTGGCAAAAACAAACAAAAAAGGCCAAAATCCGCTCATTTCTGTCCCGATTTTTTTTTCTGACCCCGTTCAACCGAGATAACCAGAGCTGGCCCTGCTTGGGGTATCATTTTGGCAAGCGGTGTTAAAAGCCTCGGAGAGAACAGATCGTCTCTAGAGTACTTCCAGTGCCTCTTTTTGATTGACATTTTGGCTCCAAAGTCGTGCCCTGATTTGTGGACGAGCGGGTGACGGATTGGGCTGATCCCTCCGTTCAAGATGAATTAGAAAAAGTCCGTTCCATTCTCCAAATGAATTGGCTTTGGGATTTGGAAAGACGAGAGCTATTTAAACCCATTTAGTGCATGGCAGTCTCATTTCCCTCCTCCTCCTCCTTTATCTCTTTCTATTCTTCCTTCTCTCCTCCTCTTCTCTCCTCCTCCTTCTCTTTCCTCGTCCTCTCCCTTTTAACCTCCTCCTCTCCTCCTTCCTTCTCCTTTTCTTCCTCCTCTCCTCTTCCAACTCATCCAGCCGCCTTTCATGCCTAAGGCAGAACTAGAACTCACCGTCTCCTGGTGATTGGCCCAAAGTCACCCAGCTGGCTTTCATGCCTAAGGCGGGACTAGAACTCACCGTCTCCTGGTGATT